TCCATCAGCCCTCAGATGGAGAGTCAACAGCCCCCAGGTCTGGAGGTGGTTGATGAAGAAGAGGAGGAACAGCTGGATCCAGTGCCTCACATGCGGCTGCGCAGAAGACAGAGAAGAGTAGAGCAATGGAAAGCTGTGGGCTGATCCTGGGGAAGGAAGAGCCACTGCTGCTAGTGAGGCCCCACCTTACTTCTGGGGATAAAAGGCAGGGGCCAGAGATGAATAGGTGTGGCAGAAAACTATTCATCTTCCAGGCCGGATGGTCTTGTTAGCCTGTGAGAGAAACTTTTTGCTGGGGCTGCCGGCGCTCCTAATAGAGGAAACTTTTGAGTTCACATCAGAGGGTTCATCTGTTTGGGGAGTGGGGTCAGAAGACTATGTATCTTTCTAGATGTGATGTACTCTATTGTGGTTTGATGTTTTGATAAGAAAATACTTGGCTGATGGGTTGCTGGATGAATAGCACTAATAGAGTCACTGCTGTTTGCACTAGCTTGAGCTAATGTTTTAGAACACTCTGGCATTCTCATGACTCTGCCCATTGCCAAGAGTTTGATCCTGACTGGCTCAAAATTGACTCAGCCTTGCATTCTTCCGAGATCAGTAAAATAAGGAGCCATATTGTTGGGGCAATAGGCTAACTCTGTAAACTGGTTAGAGAGCACTCTAAAGCATTATGAAGTCTATGTGCTACTGCTATTATCTATCCATTAATGTTGAGTTAATGTCACTATTCTCTTGAGCTGAACCAGCAGGAGAATGGGAAAATGGTGCATTCAGCAACATCTAATATATCTTCTATGCTTATGTTTTGTATTTTCACAGCATAGTGATAATGTTCCTGGTGCAAGCTGAGTATAGAATTGTTCTGCTCAAACTAACGTATGTACTGAAGTACAATAATTGTCCCTTGTGATTAGCTGTGGATGAAAAAAAGATTATCAATTCTTGGACATCTAAAAATATTACTTAAGAGCTCATTATTTTTGATTTTAAATGATCTCATTTAATATAAATTAAATTGTTACTTGGAATATTTTAGATTGACATGATAACTTGATTACTCCCACCACTTAACTGGATTTCATCATAATTTTTGTAGTTGCTTGATGGGTAATCTAATAATTTCAGCCTTGAGAACACTGGGGGCCTACAATTCAGTTTTAAGTAATCCATGATTTGTAAGGCTGTTAAATTAGATAATAAGGAAACAATACATGCAGTACAATTGCCATTATTAAGACTATTTGCTATTAACAATTACAATTTAAGATATGCTCTTATATCCTAAACAGCAGTATACATCCCCTTTTATGGACACACCTAGCATGTGTATAAAATCTTCTAGTCAAGAAATGAGAAAGAATGAACCCATCCCAAAATATGAAGCAGGATTTTGTAATCTACCTCCTGGAATAACAACTAGATGTATTCCCTAGAACCCCTTAAATTATCAGAAATTTCTTCCAGTTGGCAGTAAAGCTTGTGTTATTCAGAGAATGCATTGTTTTGTTTCAGTAAAGGAAAACAAGAAAGATAGAAGCTACAATTGGCTGTAAACTACTAAGAAGAGTCATAGGTTTAATGCAACAAAAAATAAGTACAAGAGCAAGCTTGGTGTAGTGGTTAAGGTGTTGGGCTAGAAACCAAGAGACTGTGAATTAATAGTCTCACTTTAGGCATAAAAAAACCAACTGGTGACTTTGGGCCAGTCACACTCACACAGTTCAACTCACCTCACACCTTGTTGTGGGAAAATAGGAGGAGAAAGAAGAAGAATATTGGCATGTTTGAATGAATTGTATACGAAAAAGGGCAGGGTTAGGATTAAAATTTAAAAAAATGTTGCAAGCATTTATAGCATTATACATTTATGAAATAGGATAAGAATAGAACTAATACAAAGCAAAGAACAGTAGTGAAAATGCCACAAGTGGCTAAGCATTTAAAATCAAACAACCAAAATTAAGCCAAAACAAGACAATCAAATATTCAAATAATGGAATCAGAGCAGAGGTGGGTTTCAGCAGGTTCTGACCAGTTCTGGAGAACCGGTAGCGGAAATTTTGAGTAGTTTGGAGAACTGGTAGTAAAAATTCTGACTGGCCCCACCCACATCTATTCCTTGCCTCCCAAGTCCCAGCTGATAAGGGAGGAAATGGGGATTTTGCAGTATTCTTCTCCTGGAGTGGGGAGGGAATGGAGATTTTTCAGTATCCTTCTCCTGGAGTGGGATAGGAATGGAGATTTTACAGTATCCTTCCCCTGCCACGCCCACCAACACAAACCACACACACCAAGCCATGCCATGCCCACCAAGCCACACCCACAGAACTGGTAGTAAAAAATTTTGAAACCCACCTCTGAATCAGAGATCAAATGAACTGACAGTGGAGAACTGCCGGTTATTATCACATAGTTGCATTCATTGGATTGGAAGAAACAGAAGGAGCTAAGGTGCTTTGCAATACCGGAATGAATTTAACGTTAGGATTTCTATGCTGACTTGAGTATTCTTAGCTTGAGACGGAGGCTAAAAACATCAGAAATGCATTCCTATTTCTCACACACTGTGTAAAAGAATGAAAATTTCCTCTCCCCCAAGAAAGAAATCATGTAGAAATCATGTAAAACCTTGTATACAGGGCATGACATAATGTAACATTTGCAACTTTGTCACTGAAAGCTTAAGCAGAGGTGCTCTATAGCAGGGGTCTCCAACCTTGGCAACTTTATGACTTGTAGACTTCAACTCCCAGAATTCCTCAGCCAGCATGCGCTCTGTAGACCTTTCTGACAGATTCTATATCACATCAGCAATCTTTAACAAGAGTAAAAAAAGCGCCCTTGGGGGGAGAGTTGTTAATTTATTTATGCAGTCGTTTATTATAAACATTTGCCTACTGCCCATCACAAAAATTCAAGTGGTTTGCAACAACAAAATGTATTAACAAACAGCAGGATTAAAACAACTCTTAAGCATAAACATCTTAAACATCCATATCATTCATGAACTTAAAAATATATGGCAATAGCACTTAGACTTATATACCACTTCACAGTGCTTTACAGCCCTGTCTAAGCAGTTTTACAGAGTCAACATATTGCCCCAACAATCTGGGTCCTCATTTTACCGACATCGGAAGGATGGAAGGCTGAGTCAACTTTCAGCCTGGTGTTATGCCCCAGCTATGGAACCCAAGAAATGTAGCACACACAAAACTCCGAACAACTCCATTTTACTACAAACACAGTTTTTTTCAAATGTAGGTTATTACTAAAAATGTCCTTAACAGCCTGTCAGAAATTCCAAAGATTAGATAAAGGCTTACAAGAGTTGGCAATTAGCCCAGAAACCAGGTTTGCAAGGAAAATTCACTCTCAAATGCTCAACGAACGACCGGACGAACACACGTTGTTTCCTGCAATGTTTGCCAGCTGTGTGCAAACTTAAATAGGCTAAGGGAGTGGCCAATTAGCCCCAAGCCTTACTCTCAAGGAGACCTCCTCCTGAGTAACCAGTCCTGCCTTTTGGCAGTTCTGTGTGCTCGTGCATTGAGAAGAGACTCCTCCACTTCGCTCTCTTCACTTGAAGGAGCCTCTGGAGGATCTGAAGGCCCTGGCTGAATATCTGCCTCTGGCACCACATCTTCTTCAGCCTCCTCGCTGTCTGACTCGAGCACCAGCTGCAAAGGCTGCTGGCGCGACACCACACCTGCCTCCTCCTCGTCAGGATCAGCCACAATCCACTCAGGCCGCTGGCGGGCCACAACACCTGGTGAGATTCGAACTGCCAAATTTCAGGCAGCCTGCAGTCAGCAGAAGCAGCCTACAATACTGCATTCTAACCACTGAGCCACCACCCAACCCAACCAATACCAACACTAGAAACCCCCCCCCCCCAAGTCCAATAGAACTATTTGTTAATGTGTTTACAAAAAGCCACCAGAGTCAAACTAATTGAATGTTTGGGGTAAACTTTTCTACATTGTCAGGATCCTTACAGAAAAGTTTTCCTCTGAGCCTCCATCCCTTAAGCATTCACTTCCAGGAGGGTCACACAGGATGGATAGATTTGGACCAGTTAGGTTTATATGACAGCAATCTATGGTATTTTTCAGACTATAAAACACACCTTCCCCTCCCCAAAAGAGGATGAAAATCTGGGTGTGTCTTATACTCCAAATGTAGCCCCGCCCAGCCTTGCAAATGGAGCTTTCAGAGGCTGAAAGAAGCCTCTAAAAGAAGCTTCAGAAAAAAAGCCTCTGAAAGGTGTTTATCTAAAATAATATGTCAAGAAACAAAAGAAGAATCAGTAAAGCTTCTAACCAAACTATGCTAACAAATCTGGAGAATGACACAATAACCAACAGATTGGAAGAGGTTAATCTACATACCAATACCAAAGAAAGGAGATTGAACAGATTACAGCTAGCCCTTCAGAAAAAAAACCTCTGAAAGAAGCTTCAAAAAAAAAAAAGCCTCCAAACAGAGCTTCAGAAAAAAAGCCTTTTTTTCTGAAGCTCTGTTTCGGAGGCTTTCAGAAGCAGAATTTTTTTTTCCCCTGAAACAGAGTTTCAGAAGTTTCAGAGGCAGAAAAAAAAGCAAGGCGCAGAATTCACAACCAACGAACCTGTTGCTAAAATTCACTTCTGAGAACAGCTGATTGGAGGTATTCCGGGAGGCCGATCCACCCACCAATCAGCTTTTTCCTTATTTTCCTCCCCAAAAACTAAGGTGCGTCTTATACTCCGGTGCATCTTATATTCTGAAAAATATGGTAGTTGCACAATAAGCTTATGAGCCACTGTCACAAGGGCAGTAGATATTAGACAGGATCTTCTTTGCTATATTCATTTTTTATTTTGAAAGTCTCAACTCAGCGAGCTGCTAGTAAGTATATGCTGCCAGTTTCCACAGTGCTGATTTACCTCAGAGAATTAGCCCATAAACATAATAGCCCCTTTGTCTTCATTATTTCCCTTCCCTGTTGCTTTCAGCCACCATCTAGAAGACACTGGGAGATCCATTTGCACATCTCTAATGCCATGTCTCTGACCCTGAATGTGAGTATTAAGCTAAAATCAATACCTGCAAATATTCTTGAATATCCTAAGCTTCCTGCTAGTGTTTCTCCCTTCCGTCCCCTCCCTCCATCATCTACACACCAATTCCATAGATTTACGTAATCATTAATCATCTTGACAAATAAGAGTGTGGTCACCCGCATTCTTCCTGCTGGGTCCCCGAGGCAGTAGCAAATTGACCAAGCTTATTCAACAACCATAAAGAATAAGCTGCAGTCTCCCACAGCAGGAGAGGAACAATTGAATAGTTTCTACATATAAAATATTTTTAGAAGTGACTTGCATGGAAGTTCATGATGGGAGAAGTGAGAGCTAAAAGCTGAAACTGAAAGCAAACAAAGTACCTACAATAGATTAAAATTACAAGAGGAATAACAACATGTTTTTAGGTAGACAATATGAGTGGTGAAATGTAAAATTTGTTACTATCGGTTCAGTGGGCATGGCTTGGTGGGGAAGGGTAATGTGACTGGGTGGGTGTGGCCAACATTTTTTTTTTTACTTTTTTTAAAGCATTTTTTTACAACTTATTCGGGTGAATATGTTGTAAAAAATTCTTTTAAAAGGTTAAAAAATGGCTCAGAGCCTTTTTTTTTACTTTTAAAAGCATTTTTTACAACAGTGTTGTGACCCCGACTCCCGAGCCTGACCTAACAGAGGAAGAGGACTCAGAAGGTGATGGGGAAGAACTGACAAGGCCTCCCTCTCCAGGACCCTCCTTTCTGGCAATGCCTCAGGTTACATCCGAAGGCCAGGAGGAACAGCCTGGGATGTGCCAGGAGGAAGGCATATCGGAGCACCAATTGATAGGGAGCGAGGAGGATGAACCCTGGCTTGATCCCAGGCAGCATTGGAGGGAGAAGCGTGTGCAGCAACGGAAGAGGCATGGGAGGGCCAGAGATTGAGCTGAGTCACGGAGCCACACCCCACCAGGAATAAAAGTGGGTGGGATTGCTCTTCAGGCTTTGTGACGGACGAAGTTAAACCCTGCAAGTCACATCGTGATCTCTGAAATTCGGCTTGGATATATTTTGGACTGAACATTGACTAAACTCTTGTCTCATGGATAATTTGTTGCTCCTGGAATAGACTGAAGATAAGTCCTCTTCTGCTTTATGGGAGTGAAAATGGTCTTGGCAGGCATTCGGCAGTTTGCTGCCAAAACCTTGATCTGCCAAGAATTCTAATTTGTTTACCTAATAAAATATTGGCAGGCATGCTTGGTATTACGTTTGCCTGTGTGAGGAGAGGGGACAGAACAAACCTATTCGCCTGAATAGGTTGTAAAAAAAATGCCTTTAAAAGGTAAAAAAGGCTCTGACGATCACAGCTGTGGCAATCATCAGAGCCTTTTTTTTTACCATTTAAAAGCAGGAAGTAAAAGCTGGGTGATTTGGACAGACATTTATCTGAAATGGTATAGGGTCTCCTGCTTGAGCAGGGCGTTGGACTAGAAGATCTCCAAGGTCCCTTCCAACTCTGTTTATTCTGTCATTCTAATGACCTCAGACTGACTCGGGCTGGTCTGATGCACTGCCAGAATCCAAAATAAGATTTAGAAAGCACCGCATCATTCCTTCCTTCATTTCTTGCATGGAAATGCACAACCAGCTTTAAACCTTTTGACTTTGTAACTCATCTGAATAATTCTTTTTTAGATTAGACACTTGTGAAGGAATGAAGCCATGTAATTTCATCTGAAGAGATGCAAGAGCTTTCAAAGTCCATATAGTTTTTAATTCTGACTTTTCTTTAACTTTTGCAAAGAGAGGTATCTGTCATTTTACTTTTGGGAAATGAAATTCAATTTTAAAAAAATTAGTAACCCCATAAAATACTCTATTTCTAATACTAAAAGGCCAATTCATTCAGCTTTTTTCCCCCCTGCATTTTGCCAGAAGAAGGAAAACTCATTTCCTTAAAATATGTATGCAATACTTTGCAGTCATTTCACTACCAAACTAGGTAATATCATCTAGGTAACATCATTCAGTGCAGTGAGTGAATTCTGTCTGTCTGTTAAATCTAGATTGTCATAGAGCTAAAAAAAAATCCATCAGCTGCTTCAAACAAAAAAAAAATCCTTTCCCAGATCTGGAATATTAATCACAGAGAAGGTAGGTAGCAGGATCCCTAAAACATTTCAAGATATTGATGCTACAAACAAACATTGATATATGCTGAATTGTTAAACCATTTCCTTTCATACATTTATGAACACAAACTGAGGGACATGGAATATGCAGTACAATACAGTGAGCCATGTGTAGATCTGTACATTGGGGAAACAAAACAACCACTTCATAAACACATGGCACAACATAGGAGAACAAACCCATAAGGATTACATTCAGCAGTCCATTCAGCAGTGCATTTAAAAGACAAAGGCCACTCTTTTGAAGAGAAGCAAAGTTCACATCTGGGACAGAGAGGACTGCTGATTTGAAAGAGGGGTCAAAGAGGTCATCTATGTCAAAATTGAATACCCCACTCTCAACAGAGGGGGAGGGATACTACATTATTTATCTCCAGTCTATAACACAGTCCTTTCAACATTTTCAAGAAGATTCCATATCCATTTGCACCACTCAGGTGACCCTGATGACACAGATAAACCTCCAGATGGCCTTAATGACTCGCTAAAAGAATGCAAATGACCAGCTGTCTGCAAGGATTATAAATCCTTCCATTCCCCACCATCCAGTCAGCGCTGAAGAAGCTTCTTGAATGAAAAGTGAAATGTCTTTAAAAACAAACAAACAAACCACAAAGTTTTGTTGCCTCTTGAAAAAAAGCACCTTTTATTTATTTATTTATTTTATTTGTTCAACTTGTATGCTGCCTTTCTCCGAAGACTCACCTTTTGGGACAACCATGACCTGCATGATTCAGTCTCCATAGACATTTCTACTTTATTTGCTTTTATTGCTGACTGCTTTTCAGACCTGCTGAAATATTTGTTTTAGTTTTGCTTTTAAGGTATTTTGTTGCTGTAGAAATACTTTGTTTTCTTTAAATAAAATGGAGATCTAAAACAAGAAACAAAAGAAGTAAATTGTAAGATAAGAAACAGTAATGAACAAAAGATGATGGAAAGTTGCTGGTAGGAAATTACAATTTATGTTTTTTCTGCAAAAGTGAATGCATACGTACAAGTTGCTGTTTATATATCCATTTATTCTACTTATTTTAAAAAATTCCTTTTTATGACTCTGTAATCCAGGGGTGTCAAACTCAAGGCCCGTGGGGTGGATCTGGCCCATGGGATGCTTAAATGTGGCCCATGGGGCCACCCTGGAAACAGGAAAGGACTGGCCCATGGTGCCTCTGCCAGCGAAAACAGAGCTTGTGAGGACCAACCACACATGCCATATCCCAAGCTCTATTTTCACTGACAGAGGACAGCAGGATGCTATTGTGGCTGAAAATGGAGCCTGGGAGGGCCATCCGTGGTCCTTCTGAGTCCGTTTACACTGGCAGAGGGTAGCAGGAAGCCATTGCAGCTGAAAATGGAGCTCGGGAGCCCGTTTTCACTGGCAAAGCATTCGGGACATCACAGGCACCCCCTGACATGAGTGATCTCAAGCTGGCCTTGCCCAACCACTTCGTTCCCCGAGGTCAAACACAACCCTGGTGTCAGGGTTGTCAGGGTTGATGTCAACGAAATCAAGTTTGACACCTCAGTTGTAATCCCTTAATTTGGGATAGAGTTGGACTGACTGAATGGAGCTGAGCTTTTACTAGCCAGATGCTTTCCTAAGGCAAGATGGAGTTCACAGATAGTTTTTCTTTGAAGACTAGGAGAGAAATATCTGTCTGTCTACAATCGAACCCTCAACCTTCTGAATGGGAGGTGAGCATCTTCACCCCTACGCCACCACACACTCCAATATATTCTACTTGTTATATTTAGTCATTATGTGTGCTTGTTTACAGATTCAAAATAACAAAATAGTATGTATGAATTTTATCTAGAATTTACATCACTAGAAATAATTGAATTAGAAACCCAGAATAAATATTAACTATATAATTAAGATACTCTGAACATTTCTTCCTGATTAATGACCACTTGGCCTGTGATTAAATCTTACTTTTATTCTCCCACACCAATAATTACTATCTGCAAAAATAAGTTACATTTAAAAGGGCATGTTATGTAATAGTTGATGGAATGAACTAAGTGGGGACAGGAAAATCATGCTATAACTATGATTATGAGTATTGGTTCTATGTTTTATGAACAGTGACACCTGCAGGATCTTTCGCCTTTGCAATGCCACACTGCTGCTTTCATCATGACCCCTCCCTCCAGAAGCCATTCATCCTGGTACCAGACGCAAGAATGCAAATTTTTCACAGATGAAAAATAAAAAAAAGTAATAGATTGTCTGTAAAATACATTCTTCTACTCCGTTGACATAATAGGTTCCTTTGTGCCGTTAAAGACTTATTTATTGCAGGCTGCCTCAATCACCAGAATAACACCAGAAGGCTTAGACAATAGGGTTTCCAAAGAGAAAAATAAGAATAATTAAAGTAAGCAAGAGCCAAGGAAGCAATCATGCGTACAGCACTCTGCAGAAAGAGCAAACCAAATTCAATCACATGGTGCTCCCACTATTCTAAAAAGGCCCTATTCTTGTGAGTAATAATAGTACCATAATGCATTTTCAGTGTATTTTGAAATGATTTCTTGGAAGCCATTATTTAAAAACATAGTTGACATCCAACCAGCATATTTTGCAGGGATATTTTGAGGATAGATTCTTCAAGTAACTCTTCAGAATCTCTCAAGCAAGTATGTTTTCATATTCCAGCATTGGACGAAAGAATAGAACTCTTCAAAGGCAGTGAAGCCTACTCCGGAATTGTTTGAAGTTGAATACCAGGGGGAGAATATCTTCATCCCTGAGTGAATGTTGAATAGGTACAAATAGTGCAATAACAAAAACATATTCATAAACATTTATTTTTAA